TATAACCCCTAAGTGCAAAAGCTATACAGGTTTTTATTGAGATTATAATTTTTTAAAAATATATTTAATAAATTAATGACTTGGATGATGTTGATGAGATTTTATGAGTGTTTTTATGTCCGACTCTATTTGTCAGTAGCTACCGCAAATATCATCGAACACAAATACCATGTCAGTTTCTTTTATTTGTGATGTGGTTCGTTCACTACGGCAATGAATCCATGGCCACCTTTCACCCAATAAGAAGATGGGGAAGAGGTCAAAAGAGGCTGTACAATTACCCATAATTCAAGAAATGAAATTGGAATCTGTTTTCATAACCAAAATGGTATCGTTGTTCAGACATTGTTTTAAATTCCTCCTTTAATCATATTTTAATAAGCTACTCCCATATTAGTATGGTTTCATATGTGATTGGGATTTGAGTTTGTCCACGACCAAAAAAGGGTACTCAACATCCAATCGGGAATAGCAAAGTGAAGAATGTCTTTGGCTAAGGTCCTCATAGAATGATTGGCTTATTACAGAGCAGTGAATGGTGAGTTTGTTATTAAAATTATTATCGGATCGGATCAACTAGCTTTAGCGAAGAAGTTCTGCGGACCTCTTTATCGGTCGTCTCGCGACCCCCCCGTGATGCGCACCACAGTTTGAGAACCACTTTTTTTTTTTTCTTTACTGAACATGTCATTTTGGCTAGTATAAATGAAAACGCTCTTATATATAATACTCACTTTCCAGATAAACATTGATTTTGGTTTAGGCTAGATTATTTAGATAAGATGAGATAGATAAGATAATTTTATTGGTTCAAAGAAGTGGAAATTCACTTTGACTAATAATGTTCATTGTCCACCGAAGTATTACTGCTAAAACTATAAACGTTTAGATGCAAACAGTGAAAAAGACAAAACAACAACTATTGCTACACGCACACACACAGTTAGGCTTTACAACAGACCAAATAAGTCTCTCAGTTCATGGAGCTATCTTCACATAAATATATATAGGGCCTACTGTATAAAGCCCATCGTTTTGTGTGTGTGTGTCAGTGTGTGTAGATGAGAAACACAGAGACGGATCGAATTAACTTTTTTAATTTAGGCATATTTTTTCTTATACTAATTACTGGTGATAAGATCGGATATAACTAACTCTGAAAAAGATAAACATCTTTCAAAAACACTCAGACGTCATAGATATACAAAAAAAATCTGTATGCTTGGTAATCTCGGAAATTGATTGGACTTAAACTTAAGCTAGTCACACAAACTATTAAACCAATGACATATTTAGATCATAGTCTTTTAAATGATGTTTTAAATAATTGTTGATAATTAGAATACAGAATTAATATAATAACGTTTAATTTAAAAATAAAAAAAAATCAAGGGAGACAACAATGGAAATAATAACACACCTTTTAACTCCCTTGTTTTCACACACGAAAACATGATGGAAGTAGTCTCTGATAATTGATGTTGACATATAAAATTACTAGCAAAGCAAACTTAAAACTTTGAGATCATGTGCGGCCATGTTTTGTTGAAAGTTTTATTTAATTTTGTTTGCCAATAAAACTTGCTAATACCTCTACCTATTTATCATCAAATTTTGTCTGCAAACTTTTGAGCCATAATCTACAACAAGGACCTATAAATTAAAAGATGATCAATACACGCCATCGGGCCATATCCCTCGCCAACGAAGAAGTATCCGGCCTGCCGAAACAACTGCCAACATAGGCCTATAGATCTAGAAATCGTCATGTAATACACACACACACAGCATAGGCCTATAGATCTAGTAAATCGTCATTTAATACACACACACACAAAGTATAGGTCTACAAGTAAGTAAGGAGCAACGTTGCGCATCCTTTAAATTGATTTTGGTAACTTTCTGTCTGTGATTTTCTTGATATATCTCTATAGGTCCGTGCTTCGGGAGGAAAAAAAAAGACATTTTAAAGGTCTAATAGTAAATCTTTATTATAAAGTAGAATGTAAGGTGTATGTATGTATGTGACTTATAGAAATCAAAACCGCTTGACCAATCTTGATAAAACTTGGCAGGAATGTTTCTTGGGTACAAACTTAGACCGTAGTGTATGTATTGTAGCCCTAAAACAAACTTAAGACCCTAAAAAAAAAAAAAAATAAAGTTGTCCGACTCTATTACAGCTATAGTATTTTATGAATTTAGAAATGTCTACAATGTTGACATGTGAAAAGATCGAAAGGATTTAGACCTAGATCTAATTTTAAGAAATACACTTTGTGCAGATAGTTTTTTACTTTGACACATGAAAATACAAAAGAAGGTCCATTGATTTCATTGTAAAATAAAATTAACCTTCAAATTTGTGTTTCAAAACCATTTTTTACATAAATTAGTTACTTATATCTGTAACTACAGATTTCCTGACGAACATTCTTTCATTAGACAATACCGTAATGAATCGCGTACTAAAAATTAATTCGTTTAATTGTTTACTTTATAATCCCATCCCTAGATCTAAAACTCTAATTCAACTCTAAGATGATAAAACTTCTCTTCGCACAGATAGTTTTATACTTCAACACATGAACATACTGATTATAGTCCATTAATTTCATATTTTGATCAAATAAACATTCAAATTTGGTTTTCTAAAGCATTTTTAAGAGACTACATTCGTTTACAAAAGCTGCGAGGCCGAGTTGAGATAGGCCTAGATCTATATTCATTCATGAATCGCGTACTAAAAATTATTTCGTTTAATTGTTCACTTTATAATCCCATTCATTTAACAAAGCTATCGCTCTTTTCGTTTTTAATAGATATGAATGTATCGGCTTCGGGTAAACCCATTTTCGCAAACCTTATTTTACTTTCGTACCGAAAGAGAAAAAACTTGAAAGGATCATTAGTTAAGTTTAACATACATCTAAATCCAGTCAACTAGATTAGTAAACACAAACTTAAACCCGCAGGCCGCGGGTAATGTCAGGCTAGTATTTCTATAATTAAAGCCTTCCTTTCCGATTTTGCGATCTGTGAGGGCAGACGATGGAAAGCCACGTGTTTCTATCACACATAGCTTAAGAGGGTGTCATGTGGCCAGCATAACAACCGAAATCCATAAATTTTCTTTTTTTTTTTACTTAACTGCTTGATTTCATGCATGATAATACAAACTGTAGACAAAAAATGGCGTTTAGCATCAGCAGTTAGATATTATTTACCATTAGGAAGAAAGCCTCAATGCCGACTATTTTATTACATGCCACTTTAATTAAGTTGAGGTACATTGATTTGATCTTAAAGTGTAGGCCTATTATTAAAAAATTGTTTGATGTTTTCAGAGCATCAAAAGAGAATCCAAGTAGTTTTAGAAGTTTAACCCTTTTGCACTGGAAGTTTGGTCGTGTATTACTTTCACATCTCTGTGATTTACTTTCCACATAACTAAATAGAACAAAGCTGGATAAAAGTGGGGGGAGGGGGGGGGGGAGTCTTCCTTTTAAAATTTTCAGCTATTCCAAAAATGTTGATATATGTAGATATTGCTTTTACCAACAGAATGTTTAAATCAAGACGTTTTTTTTTTTTTAGGTATTTATTGAAATACATCAAGTTTAGAATTTAAAAAAAAAATCCGGTCATATGTAATTACTAAACTGTAATCACACTAGTATAATGATACTGTCCTGGTGTCAGTTTACATATCTGGTGTTCAAGAAAGTACTATGAAAGAAAATAAAAGCATTTTCTTGTAATTAGTGTACAATTACTGTATAGGGGGAATTACTGTATTCAAAAAAGGTTCAATGGTTGTAATAATTTTGAAATATCTGAAAACATATATCTCTTTCTCACGCTCAACATCAAGATTGATAGTTCTCCCTAAACAATGGTTCTCCAACTTTAAAAGTGGCTTTCCACCCCCACCCCTTTTTAAAAAAATAAGTTCGCGCCTCCCCATTGTCCAGCTATTAGGTCTATAAGCCATGGGACCAAGAGTTTTCCTGCATTGTAAGCTTCCTAAATTCACTGTCATTTGCTCTACGCCACATTTTACTTTTAGTAAGAAAAGCGCAAGTCAAAGTTAAAGGAAGAAATCTTGACAAGGGTTGATACTTACAATATTTCCTGATTGATTTATCCCCCCCCCCCCCCCCAATCGTGTCGTAGAGTTATGATAAGGTGAACTCATGTTTCAAAGTGATGAGACACAAGTTTTCAAGTCTCTTTCAGTTTCTAATACTCATTAAAGATTTCACAACGGTTACGATCAATTTAGCTCAAGTTTGAAAGGAAAGATTGAATCTCGAATCTGTAAAGAATGCGACACATATTTTGCATCAGGTACCTTGATGAAATCACAGTGTGCAGTTCAACAAAATGTGCATGGCACAAATACAAAGTTTAGATCAAATCAATGACTACAAAACGATGAAATGAAGTTCAGGTTTCTGATGATGATGAGGTGGAATGGAGAGACGTGAGTGAAATTTGTGAAGATCGTCTTCAAAACTTAGATGAGATCGAAATCCATGATGAAATTATTTTTAAAAAATTCGATGTTATGTTACTTTAAGGAGGGAAGGGGGTATTGAGTTGTTTTTTTTTTTTTTTTTGGGGGGGGGGGGGGGGGGTTGATTTTAGGCATTATTTAATATGATAATATCCAAACGTTCCCGTAATTCAGGATCCTCCGGAACACGTTGTGGATGAGCAGCGAAAATGTTTGCCATCGAATCTGGAATGAATATATATGCCTTCGGTGGAATTGTCAAACACGTGGTGAATTAGCATTGAAAAGAGTATTCCAAAGAGGGTTGGCGCCAGGCCATATCCTTGTTTAACTCCCCTGTTTATACTGAAACTTTAAGAGCAGGCGCCATTGAGCTGCCCAGTAGCCATCAAATTTTGGTGGAAAAAAACGATTACATTTAGCAGCTTGGGTGGACAGCCTATTTTGTGTAAAAATTTTGAAGCTATACAATCAAACAAATACACGACTGTCATAAATGCAAATTTATTAGAGCAAGCTGTGTGTGTAGGCCTAAAATTCTAGTTTGGATTTCCAACTAATGCAAATATTTTCTACATGTAAAACTTAGTGTTCCTAGGACAAGGTTTAACAAAATGGCTCATTTTATGTGGCCAACAATTTACAAGGGGGATGTGCAGCCAGTGCACTGATCCATCAGCCATACTTCATCCCCAACAACTGTTAGATACTGGTATGTATTTAATCTCTGGACATTTTTATAAACTAGTACTGTGATGTTCTAAACAAAGACTTGCTCTGTAGCTTCATGACTGAAACACTTAAAACACAGTCATCTTTTAGTTTCATAACTGAAATTCTAAAATGCAGTCATCTCTGTTAGTTTCATGCCTGAATCTCTAAAACTCAGCATGTCCCATAACGCAACAGGTTTGTGCCATTTCAGCTGGAAAATATAATCATACAACGCTTAATGGGTAATTTTTAACATACATTTATTTAGTTGCGCTAAAAGTTGGGCAAACATGGCCTAGGCATAGGGTCCAATGAGAGCTCAGGTCTAACAGTTGAGCAAACATGGCCTAGGCATAGGGTCCAATGAAAGCTCAGGTCTAAAAGTTGGGCAAACATGGCCTAGGCATAGGGTCCAATGAAAGCTCAGGTCTAAAAGTTGGGCAAACATGGCCTAGGCATAGGGTCCAATAAAAGCTCAGGTCTAAAAGTTGGAAAACATGGCCTAGGCATAGGGTCCAATGAGAGTTCCGGTCTAAAAGTTGGGCAAACATGGCCTAGGCATAGGGTCCAATGAGAGCTCAGGTCTAAAAGTTGGGCAAACATGGCCTAGGCATAGGGTCCAATAAGAGCTCAGGTCTAAAAGTTGGGCAAACATGGCCTAGGCATAGGGTCCAATGAGAGCTCAGGTCTAAAAGTTGGGCAAACATGGCCTAGGCATAGGGTCCAATAAGAGCTCAGGTCTAAAAGTTGGGCAAACATGGCCTAGGCATAGGGTCCAATGAGAGCTCAGGTCTAAAAGTTGGGCAAACATGGCCTAGGTATAGGGTCCAATGAGAGCTCAGGTCTAAAAGTTGGGCAAACATGGCCTAGGCATAGGGTCCAATGAGAGCTCAGGTTTAAAAGTTGGGCAAACATGGCCTAGGCATAGGGTCCAATAAGAGCTCAGGTCTAAAAGTTGGGCAAACATGGCCTAGGTATAGGGTCCAATAAGAGCTCAGGTCTAAAAGCAGGGCTCTGGAAGTGCACAGCTGCTGTCAAAAGAAATAAAAAATTTTTGTACACCTACTATTTATAACAAACTGATCAGCAAGTTTCATGACAAATTAATCAGAGGAATATGAACAATCATATGACATCTCAACGTTTGGATATAAATCTCTGTTGCTTTGAACATATTTTTTTACCTTGAGTTCAACTTTGTATCAACAAAAATAGTTTGTAGTTTTAGTTTTTTCATCATTGCATATAATGTATGATTCTTATTCATATTATAATAACAGCATTTGTTTGATTCATTCTACAAGTAGAGATTTCATATTGGCATGAGGACATTGTAACATATAGAAAAACTTAGTATAAAAATGATGCCATCCTATTCAGCTGTTTCATTTGTTTTACAACATCATATATCACCTAGAAATCTCTGCAAGAAAATAGTTTTAGTCAGACATGAACTTCTATTCTGAAGAGCTTTCCTCTTCCTGTTCTGTTGTTGGCCTGACTGTTGGGGAGTCCCTGCTGGCCCTAGTGATCTCTGACAAGTCAAGTAAAAGTCTTTCTCTTGGCTTATGTTTGTCATGCTTATCTCCCCTTTCGTGCTTGTCTCCCCTGTCATGCTTGTGTTTATGTTTATGTTTGTGCTTGTTCTTTTTCTTCTTCTTCTTTGACTTGTGGTGACTTTTGTCCCTGGACTCACTTGTGGATGCAGCTGGGAAGATAAAGGAACAAAATGAGTTGCCACTTAAGGGTAGCTTTCACATCGTCTTGGGGTTAAATTCTGAGGCAAATTAAAGCCAACAAATACAAATGGTACCTAAATCTTACTAGAAAACAAAAATCAAAGGGCATCATGGAAAGTGTGGTTGAGAGGCTAAGTGGGCTTGAACTTGGCTTAGCTACCTATGAAGGGGGCTCGAGGTTCGACACCCGACTCGGGCAGAGTTGTCTTTACTGAGCGCTTAAAGGCAGCACGAAAAAACCTTCTCCTAGATACCCCCTCCCCCCACTGGTCCACAATTGAGATTGGACCAAAGCGCTATGAGCATGCTATAAGCATGAAAGTAGCGCTATATAAAAGACATAATTTATTTTATTTTTATTTATCATATTTGCAAAAAAGTTTTTACAAGCTCAGCTGATCCACTTTCTTGTAGCAAAAACATTTAGTGTAAATTTTACAGACAAAAATAAAAAGCATTAAAAGGGAAATTATCTGGGCTCAAGATCCAATTATGGCCTCATTTGATGGGTGGCACTTAATTTTTTTACTTAATATATGTAGAGATTGAATATTGGTTTGCCCATCACAAGAATAGCGGCTACATTAATTTATTCAGTTTTATTTGTATATAAGGATAAAATAAGCCACTAAAACTTCATGTCACATGATACAATGGATTAGCATAAAACATATTGTTATGGCTTGAAGGTAAAAGTTGAAATTTAGGTGGATATTTGAAACAAAAAAACTCAGCCTTGCAAGTTCAAATTGCTGATCTGAGTAATAGAAAGGGATACTTGTAGTTGGAAATGTCAGTTGAGAGGGTACATGGAAACATCTAGAACAGGAATACTTAAAATAAACAGTCTCTTCATAGAGTACTTGGATATAACAAGTCTATACATGTGATATTGAGGTTAAAACTGATAAGACCATATTCTGGCACTAAGTGCAATATAAGTTTGTGATTATATAAAGTTCACTGTATTTGAAATAAAAAGCATTTATTTTACCTGAGGTATTCAGGTAAAGAGTAGTCTTCAAACTTGGTTTTGCTGAATTGGGTGATAGTATTGTGGTTCCCCCTGACACAGATGTGGAGACAATCAGAGGAGGAATTTTTTTAGTTTCAGGTTCTGGAGAGCTCTGGTACGATGGCACACTCAACTTTCTCTTCAGCGCGAGGGACGAGCTGGGTGTTTCGGTGTCCAAGCTCACAGAGTGTTTGATGGGAAGGGGAGGTATCTGCTGGTAGACAGAAGCAAACGAGAACTGTGGGGTGGGTGCAGAGGGAGGAGGCTGTGGTGTCTGCGGAGGAGATGAACTCTGTGGGGGTGAGGACTGGCTCTCTTCCTTGATTTCTTTCTTGAAGTCCACGACCAGCTGTGTTGGTGTGGCAGGACTAAGTTCAATCTTTGCATCTGTCTGATCCTCAGTGAAGACCGTCAGCTGTTTCTCCTCTACCACCTCTGTTGTTAAGACCTCAACAACAGGCTTAATGTCTTCCATATTCTCCTGAGTGACATCTCCGCTGATCCGTGCTTGTTTTTCCTGGGCGCTCTCATCCTCTATGATGTAGCCCGGTGAGCTCCTCGAGTCAGGGGAGGCAGGAGGCGGGGAGAGCGGGCTTTTGACTTCCTCCAAAGTTACAGGAGGAGGAGAAAGTTCAACTCTCACTGGGTGGTATGTGGGGGGAGGGGAAGGAGGTTGAAACAACTTCCCAGGAATGATGGGGTCATGTTTGATGATGTTATCCAAGGAAACAATCACATCATCAGGATGACCTAGAAATAAATACAAGGAAATTCACCTGTTATGTTGCAGACAAAAGTTATAATTATGTATAACCATTGTTTTGCTTTCTTGCACTAATGAAAAAAAAACAAAACAAAAAAAAGGTGAATTAGCTAAGGCAATAAGAAAAGATAAAAATAAATGGCTGACCTTTGCTGACCGGTGGTGGAGAATTTGAGAGGGAATCCTCACTGAGGCGACTGATGCTGTCATGCCTGGACAAGCCTTGAGACAGGTCAATTTGAACTGAGGGTCTGCTTAGGTTTGGAGTAACTTCACTCTGCACAGTGCATTAAAAACAGAAAATAAATGTTAAGAACATAAGAAATCAAGTAAATAATTTTTAAAAATATTTTCCTTGTCAGTGGCTTAATAAAAATCTTGATCTCTAGTTTGATTTTTTTATTTAAACATATAAAATAATACATTAGAAATGTTTAAGGAAAATAAACGAGTGATAAGAGTAATCAAAATGTATCCAACAAATAATCAAAATGTTGTATCCAACAAATAATCAAAATGTTGCATCCAACAAATAATCAAAATGTTGTATCCAACAAATATGTATCACCTCAAGGTCAGACTCTAATTCCACTGTCTCTGTCACTACAGCCTCCTCTATAACATTGGACTGATCTTCACTGTGCATTGTGACATCTACAGAACTTCTATCAGTAAACTGTGAAAAAGAATGTAGTAGATATATCAGCAAAAAGAACAAATATATTTTAACTATATGAAGAATTTCCCATCTGTACAATGGTGAACTGGACAGTGAGAGTTCACACCTCATCATTAAGATTATTATTCATAATAACAAAAAAAAAAAAAAAAATTCTGGTGGCCACATGACACACTCGATAATCATTGGTCATAAAAACAGATGAACTTTTAACACCAACTGCCCTATACATTGCAAGCTCTGAAAGGGGAACTTACCTTTTTTTACATGTGTCAGTGAGGTAAAAAAAATATTAAAAATAATTATAGTTATGTTGTAAAGCCAATAAAACAACAACAAAAAAAAAATATATGTACCTCAATAAAATTAACATAAGCACTTAGTTAACAAAAAAAAAAAAAGAACAAGCACTCACATCATCTGTGATATCTAGGTCAAGGTTAACTTTGACTGTGGCTGGTGCAGCATTCTCCACCATGGCAGGCTCATGGACAGGGGAGGCAAATATATTAGATAGCTCCGGGTTCCAAATAGCAATGCTGCTTGGAGCATGCTCCGAAACACTGAGATCATCAGCATTAATCTGCAGACATAAGGACTGGATTTCAACAGGTTGTTAAACGCAAGATCAGGTTTGAGTCAATACTAGTGACAGCAAACTAAATGAAGTCAGAACCAAACACCAATGACAAGTCCAGAGACAAAATGTACATATCTTCTAAAATGTTGAGTTTGCACTTCATCCACTATGCAGAGTGCCTAGAAGAATACTTTTTATGGAGATGATATTAAAACATAAACCATATCAAGAGAAGACAATCTAGGTGATTGAATCCTATGTAAAAAAAAAGTTTGATCATTTGATGAGCTTTATTGTCACAACTTTACTTCTACACTTTTTATAATGTAATGATAATACAAATAATAATCTTTAAGATCAATGATGTAATTTGTTTTACAGTTATGCATTACACATTAATATGTAGACCAAAAGGAAATATATAGACAAACACAACAAAAAGAGCTGCGGCAAAATATGTATATCACATCATGAATTTCAAAAGAATCTGAGATTCTTTACTTCTCCTTAATCTTTGTACT